ACTTTTTTAAAGATATAAGCTCATCCCGGTGTTATACTCATCAAGAGCTTTCATTTGAGTACCCACATGCATTTTTGATATATTTTTCATATATACATATATATATATATAAATATATAAAATATATGAAAAATTGATGTGGGTACTTAAATGAAAGGTCTTGATGAGTGTAACATCGGGATGAGCTTATATCTTTAAAAATGTTAATCGTTCACAAGATACAAGGTCATTTCTTAATTATAAATCTAGAGATAGAGCATTTTCAAATGCAGCCTAAATACTTATCATTAAAAATTGACTATTGGTGAGAATGATATGAAACTTTGAAAAGGCACAACTTCATGTCAAGACTCTTCCAACGATACCAAATTTAACTATAAAAACCCATTTTATTATATAAATATACTGGCCACAAAATTTTGCTTATTCTCTCAATAATATAGATTCTAATGTATTATAAATTATAATTAATGCAAATAATTTACAAAGATGATTTTTATATATAAGCAATCTTAATATCAGGACATTGCAAGCGCAACAAATTAACTCATCAAAATATTTATTAACCGTTAATAAATATTTGTTATCTATTAATAAATATACTTTCCTCCCAAATAAATATTCATTGAATGTTAAAATAAAATAATTGTCTTAAAAAAAAATTAAACATTATTAATAGTTAATAAATCCTTCTATCAGTGTAACTACGAACCACGTGGAGCAAAAGACCGCGATCCAGAAATTATCCGTCTCCGTCTTTATTCCTCCAAGTAGAGTAAAGTCGGGATAGGATCCACACGTGTTACATATTTATCATGCGCTTCACGGGTATGGCATTCCTTTGAAGAAACTCACATGAAATTTGTTTTAATTTATCACATTTGCCTCAGCCCGAGACATTTTCAACTGTCACGGAAAAATTAGCAAGATAATAAATTATTTTGACGTGACAAAAACATTGAGAAATTGACGGGCCGAAAAAAGCCGACGTTTCCCCGCGGATCGGCTTTTTTTTTTCCCATTCAGGATCCGGGGATAGTCAAGTTTGTTTTTGCTTTTTAATACCTCGATTCCTCTGTATCTCATTATATTACCGCGGGAGCGTTTAACCAAATAGTTTACCTTGGAATATAACGTTGCGGATCATGGATGTCTTGGGGACATTACCATGAGACGTCCAGTCGTCCAGTAGGAATAAATTAGAATGCGCATGTATAATGTATGGATAGAGATGGATATATATTCAACTATATGTAATAGATATGTAGTACATAGTAGATTACATAGTAAATATATACATATATGTAGGGATATTTGGAGAGTTTCCAAGATCCCAATCGAAGTTTGAATTATCACAACTGGTCGGTACGTGACCAGAATTACGGGAAGATATCTCTCGGGTCTAAAGTATGTATTATATGAAGATGTTTTTAAACTTGTCTGATGACACGGGCTCGTTCGTTCAACTACTTATGGTAATCCCCGATACCACTTACTATTCACCCACTCATCTCTACTCGAGTCTTGCTCTATATACAGCAATACAGCTTCCCGATTCCCAACTCAATACGAGCTACTCCGCATTCACATCCACTCGGTATCTTCTCGACGGTCAGTAATGTAGTGAGCTCTTTACTTGTATTGTCTCTCACCGCATAGCAGAGAGTACATATTATGGATTGAACTACTGGTATAGTGGGCTTAAAAGCGGAAGAGTTGTAAATTTATTACCACAACAACTGAAGATAAAGAGAAATAATTTTTGAAACTCTTGATTAAACAATTGTAATATTTATATTTTTATTTAATAATTATTTTAGTAAAAATATTGTAAGCTATAGAGTTTATTTGACTTATAATTATTGTAAAAATATATTGATTGGATAATAAATTGATTTAGTGGAATTAATTTAGGCTTAATTAATCAATTAGAGATAATGATTGCTCAAGATTGGATAATCGTCATATGAGATGGAGATTTTCATTACGGGCGGAGTTTGATTGATGTAGCGAATCACGTGACACTTCGAACAATGATGGATCTGTGTAAATAGGCTCGCTGGGATCGAAATCGCTCCGTCTGTTAACGGTTAATCCTACCGCGCCCTCCATCGCCGTCGACGTCAGCTGGTGATTAAAAATTTGACTTAACGACCTGAAAGAAGATGAAGATGAGGATGAGGAACAAGATTAAGTTTTTTTTTTTTTTTTTTCTTCGTTTTAGAGCTCTATTCTCATTTGTTTTTATTTTAAGTAATTAATATAAATAGATTGTCGAGTTAAACGGTTACTTACGTTGATTGGAACGGCTTGGGGAGCCCCGATCGCATGAATGAAAAGTTTGATCGGGAACTCGCTGAGTCTTCTCGGATTACTTTGTCTACGATTTTGTTCTTACGGATTATTGGGTAACCATATTTCCTAATTCGTTTAAAAAATTTTTATTATCATTTTTTACAAATAATGGAAATCTTTTTGATTAAAAAATTAGATTTTTTTTATTTAAAATATTGTTAAGTTAAATTTTTTTTTTTTTTAATTTAATTAAAGATAAAAAAATAATTTTTTAAATATTAATTTGTGGATTGAAAAAAAAGTACTAGTAAAAATTGTAAAAAGTCGACATGGAAAAAATTATTTAGAAAAAAAAAATTTTTAAAATAATACTTAAAAAAATTTTATTAAAAATTTTTGACAATTAATTTTTTTATCATTTTTTTAATATTAAAAGCATCAAAACCTAATTAAAAAATTATCTACGGTTATTGTAATAATTCTTATCTTGAATGCGTCATAAAAGCAAGTAAAAAAAAAAATAAATCAGAAAACTTTAATTTTTTATGAATAAAAATAGAAAAGTTTAAGATAAAATTAGAAAACTTTAAAAAATACAAAACAAATTCAAAAAATTTTACTAGTAAAAACAAAAAAGTATTGATATTTTTTAAAAATATTTTTGTTATTATATTAACACACTGAAAAAGAAAAAAAAATCTCTTGAATCAAGTAAAATTTGTTAGTTGAAAAATTTTTCAACTAAAATCAAGACAATAAAGTTCTTCAAAATTATTTTCTTGATTCAAATTAATTTTTTTTTTTTCATTAATAAATATTTTTAATTTTTAATTAATAACTTTTTTGATGACATTAAAAAGTTAGCAGTCACTTGATCATTTTTTTTTATTTTATTTATCAACAAAATTTGTTCCAAAAAATTATTTATAAAAAATTGCATTTTTAATTTTTTAAAATTTCTACATGTCAATTTTCTTTGCAATCATTTATTTCTCACCAAAATTATTAAAATTATTATGATACTGAAATTAGCAGACATTTGATATTTAGAAAATTATTTTTAAAAAATTGCATTTAACATTTTTTAAAATATCTGTGTCAATTTTTTTTCTTAATTTTTTTTGCAATAATTTATTTGTCACCCAAATTCTTAAAATTATAAAATATTTCCTAAATTAATTTTCATACTTTTTTGTGTAGTAATTTATTTAAAAAAAAAATTAAAAATCGATCAAATATCTGTTAATTTTATTATCACTAACTTCTATTATTAAACCTTAAAAATCCTAAGGGCCCACCAATGCCGTATCCAGGAGAGAAGCCAAACCCTCACGAAGCTCACTCTGGTGGACCTCCTGCCCCTGGAGTTCCTCCTTATCCTTCAAGCGCCGGTTACGGTTTCAATCCGACACCAGGATCATTCAACATGCCTCAACCTTTTTCTTCCCCTTACCCAGCAAGCCCATACCCAAGTCCCTACCCTCCATCTTCTAACCCATCTATGCCGTACCCCGGCCAAGCTAATGTACCTTCTCCTTATCCTCCAAGCGCTTCACTGTCTTACCCAATGAACCCTGGAGCTACTTTTCCTCCAAGCTCAACTCATCACCCCGCACAAAATCCCAGCTTTTCAGCACCGCCTTATGCACCTCAATCCTACCAATCAAATCTTCCTCAACAGCCTAACTACCCTAGCATGAGTTATCCCGGCCAACCGGGTGTCAATCCTGGCATGAGCATGAATTCAAACTATCCTGGCCAAGCGAGTTCTCATACTAACGCTTATCCTGGATCCTATCCTGGGGGCCAAGGGGCAGGAGCTTATCAATCAGCTACTGCTATGGCTTATAGACCTTATTCTTCTGCCTCTGCCCCCCGGATGGCTCAGGTTAATTTGAAGGTGAGACTAACGTTTTTTTTTTTATTCTATTTTTCTCTCAATCAATCAATACTCAATAATATTGCGTTTATTTTCTATAAAATTATTTAATTGAATTTTTTTTTAATTATTAATTACTAGCAAGTTGCAATCACTATCCTTATGCAATAAAATTATCTATTTTAATTTTTATAATAAATCAAATACAATAAAAAAAAAATCTTTACAAAATTGCTACTGATAAGTTTTCAAAATTTTTACATGCAGAATTTTTTAATTAAATTTTTTGATAACAATTTTACTGCTATAAAATTATAAAAAAATTTTTTAATATCAACTTCAGTGTCATGAATTAATCTAATACAATAATTAGATTAAGATGATAATAGAAATAAACAATTATAGTATCTTATAAAATAATTAAAACTAAAATACAAGACCTACTTTTTTATAATAATAGTTTAAATTAATGCGATTTAACTAAGAATTTATACAATAGCTTATTAAATGTCCAAACAAGTGATCGAAAAGTTTATTTTTGAAAACTCCAAGACTATGAGAATTTACAATGTCTGCCGGTAATTTCTTCCACATATGTATAACTGTTACAACAAAGTCATAATAATGATTTTAATTTAAAAAAAAAATAAATAAAGTAAAAGTCCCTATTATTGACAGGGCCCCCACTATTGACACCCTATTTAATTTTATTATTTCAATATTAATATCTGCTAATTATCACAATTTTTGATATTTCATGACAATCTTACATATTTTTAAAATTAAAAAATAGTAAAATTTAATTCCAAGGCATAAACTATTTACCGCAAAAAAATTTCATATTTCCAAGTAGCCCAAAACTGCTTACACGTTTGTAATTTCTTAACAATATTGTTAAGAAAGACCTTATTTTAAAATCCAGATTTCTCAATGTTTTTTTTTTTATGTAATTGCATTGTTTAAAATTATTTTAGATTTTTTATAGTCTAAATAACCATATAATCATTTATTTATACTTTATCGCGTTAAAATTAATTTTAAAATAGCAGATGTCAATGATGGGGACACAAAAATTAACTTGCGTCAACTAACGACATAGGCCATAATGTAAGGCAACCAACCCCCTCAACATACATATCAACATATTAATGTTTACATACTGTCATGTGATTTTATAAGAATCAAAGTATTTGAGACTAGAAAAAATTGCTAAAAAAAAACCTGGTACAAAATATAGAAAAGCTAGGTCTTAAACGAATTTTAAAATAATAAAAATTATTGATAGTTTTGCATTAGTTAGTAAAAATGATTATTGTTAATATAAATTTAATTGTAATAAAAGACCTGTCAATAATAGGGTCAATGGTATGTCAATAATCGGCTCTTTGAATTTTTGCGCTGTCAATAATACATACATTTGACCTGTTGGTTTTAAGTTGATATAATAATTATTAATTTTATTGCTATTAAAGTTAATTAATTAAATTATATATGTAAAAACAATGATTAAGATGTCCTAAAAAAAAAAAAGCTGACAATATTGATTTGAAAGATAAAAAAATCAAATATTCATGATCACTCTTAGTGTCAATAATGGAGACTTTTACCTTATTAATTATTTTTCAGCCATCTCCAACCGTAGTACCTTTCCCTGGTTTCAATTCTCGGGAAGATGCTGAAGTTCTTCGGAAGGCGATGAAAGGATTTGGTACCGACGAAAAAGCCATAATTAATGTTCTTGCTAATCGTACAAATCTCCAGCGCCAGGAAATAGCTGTCCAATTTAAAACTCTTTATGGAAAAGTATGCTTAAATTTTAATTTCTTACTTATTTTAATGAATTATATTAAATTAAATAAACTAACTTGATTATTTTAGGACTTGATAAAAGACTTGAAGTCTGAGTTATCTGGAAATTTTGAAGATCTTGTCGTTGCTATGATGACACCAATTCCTGATTATTACGCTAAAGAACTCCATGAAGCTATGTCGGGTATTGGAACTGACGAACATGTCTTGATTGAAGTAATGTGTACAATGTCCAATCAAGAAATTCATGTTATTCGTCAAGCATATGAAGCTAGTAAGTTGATTAAAATTATTTATTAAATCTTGATAATTAAAATGACGTTTAATAAATAAAAAATTTTAATCTAATACATTAAAGATTATGTTGAGTATAAATTGAGTGCAATTCACAGTATTATGCTGAGTTATTATTTGAATTAGTGACATTAAAATTCTATATTTTAAATTATTATTTTCTATATTAATTTCTAAGTTTAAATTTGCTTTTACTTTGTTTATGTACAAATTATTTAAATTATTATTAAGTAATAATTTTATTTTACAATTAAATAAATCCTGTAATTTTTATGACACTGAAGTTAGCAGACGTCTAAAATTTTTTAATTTTTTATTAAATTACAACTAAAAAAATATTTTTAAAAAATTGCACTTATAGTTTTTAAAGTTTTTTACATGTGAAATTTTTTTTTATTAATTGTTTAATTGAAATTTGTTCAATAAAAAATTTCTAAAAATTTTGAAATGTCGGCTAACTTGCAATTTTCATGTAATTTTTCAGGATATGGAAAATCATTGGAGGACGATCTTCGGGAAGATACTTCTGGCAATTTTAAACGTTTAATGGTCTCACTGTGCTGTGGGCATCGTGACGAATCATACGAAGTTAATCCAAGTGCAGCTATGGAAGACGCTCGACAACTTTTGCAGGCTGGAGAGCTCCGTTTTGGCACTGACGAATCCACCTTTAATGCTATTTTAGTTCAACGCAATATTCTCCAGTTGAAACAAATTTTTACTGAGTATCAGAATATTACTGGGCATTCGATTGAAGATGCTATTAAGAATGAATTTAGTGGTGATATTGAGAAAGGTCTTCTGGCTATTGGTAAATATATTTATTATTATTATTGTCTCCCACATAATATAGTTTAAATTATTTAAATATTTCATGACACTGATATTAGCAGATGAAATTTTTTTTTATTCTTCCTGAAAAATAAAATAGAACTAGAAAATTGTTTTTAAAAAATTGCATCTATAATTTTTTACAGCTTTTAATTAAAAAAAAAAAAAAATTTTAATAAACTTTTTTTGCTATAATTTATTTATTAAAAAAATTATCAGCTGTCTCTCAATTTCAGTATCATAAATATTTAAATTGATTTTTATTTTTAAAATCATTTAGAGCACAGTTAATGTTTCCTTTAAAAAATTAATCTTCTATCAAATATTATAAATATTACAAAATATTACAAATAATTCAACATTGTTTATTTAATTTATTTTTTTTTTTTATATTCAAACTCGATATTGCTCAATGTGTTCTTGATTTATAGATGTCAAATTATATTTATCATATCTATACTTCATCAATTAGTTACATAAGAATAAACTAGTTACCGGAGTTTTTTAAATCCTTTGTTTAAAAAGTAGCACAGAACAATTTGTTACATGATAACTATAGCTAGAGCGTGTAAAATTTTTTTTTAAATTTATTTACAAGGTGATAGGAATCATTAATCAGCTTGAAATAAATTTTAATGATTATTTTTATACAGTTAGTTAGCGTGAAAATAATTATTTATTTACAAATTTTAGTTATTTTATTTTTTCTAAATTATTTATTTATCTATTTATTTATTAACATATGACTATCGGTAATATACAACAAAGAATACATAACATGCAGTCACTATGTGACTGCTGTAACTTGTGAACTATAAAAAATTAAAAGTTTGATTTATTAAATAATGACTTTTGTTAAATTGCACTTTACTTTCTTAAATATTGACGTTTTTGAAAATATAAGCTCATCCCGATGTTACACTCATCAAGAGCTTTCATTTGAGTACCCATATGCATTTTGATATATTGTTCATATATACATATATATAATATATATAAATATATGAAAAATTGATGTGGGTACTCAAATGAAAGGTCTCGATGAGTGTAATGTCGGGATGAGCTTATATCTTTAAAAATATCATTAGCTGACAAGATACAATGTCATTTCTTAATTATTAACATTTTTTAAGATATAAGCTTATTCCGATGTTACACTTATCAAGAGCTTTCATTTGAGTACCCACTTGCATTTTTGACATATTTTTCATATATACATATGTATAATATATATATATATGTATATAAATATATAAAATATATGAAAAATTGATGTGGGTACTCAAATGAAAGGTCTCGATGATTGTAAAGTCAGAGTGAGTTTATATCTTTAAAAATGCCAATAATTCACAAGATGCAAGGGCATTTCTTAATTATTGACATTTTTAAAGATATAAGCTCATCCCGATGTTACACTCATCAAGAGCTTTCATTTGAGTACCTACTTGCACTTTTGATATATTTTTCATATATACATATATGTAATATATATAAATATATAAAATATATGAAAAATTGATGTGGGTACTCAAATGAAAGGTCTCGATGAGTGTAGTGTCGGGATGAGCTTATATCTTTAAAAATGTCAATAGTTCACAAGATATAAGGTCATTTCTTAATTATGTATCTAGAAATAGAGAATTTTCGAATGCAGCCTAAATACTTGTAATAAATTGACTATCGGTGAGAATGATATGAAACCTTGAAAAGGCACAAATTTAGTGACCTTTGCAATGACACTAAATTTCACTAAAAAAACCGATTGTATCATATGACTATCCCGGAAACAAAATTTTTCTTATTCTCTTAATAATATAGATTAATTAATTAAAATTTATAAATATATATTAATCATAAAATATTTAAATAATTTTTTTAGTTCAATGTGTGAATCACCGTGCTGGATATTTTGCGAAACAACTTTACAAAAGCATGAAGGGAATGGGTACAGATGACCGTAGACTTATCAGACTTGTTGTAACACGAGTTGAAATTGACATGGGAGAAATAAAGCAAGCGTACATTCAGGAGTATGGAAAATCATTAGAAGATGCTATTGCTGTAAGTTAACAATTTTAATACTTTTAAAAATTTATAAATTATAAATAACAATGATTTTATTTTTTTAGGATGACTGTTCAGGACATTACAAAAAATGTCTCTTGGCACTGATTGCCTAAATAAAAACATGACTACAAAGGTATTTTGCATTTGATCATAAATCAAAAATAAATATTCAAGGCTATAAAATTTTATTTATTATTCAATTTAATTTAATAAAGCTAAAAAAACACAGAAAGTATTAAAGTAAATTTATAAGCTTGTGTGTTAAAATTCAATTGAAATTTAAAAGACAAATTTTTGAAAATTATAATTTTTTATGCACCGTAAAATTAAAAATTAATTACATGTTTTTTTTTTTATTTTTTATTCAATGAATTTTTGTAACGTAGAAGTCGAGTGATAATAGAAAATATATAATTCAAATAGGTAGTGCATAAAATTTTTAATTATATAACTATTATACTCAAATTTAGAAGTGAGCATTGCGATCAATTCACATTTATTTAAAAAATATTAAGTACAATTTTAAAGACAAGAGAAAAAAAATATTGAAAGTTTCTATACAGCCAAAATAGTAATTGTTAATTTAATTTCACTATAAATAATTTTATATAATATTAAAGCCTATGAAGCATAAAATTATATTTTTATGAATATACATGTTGATATTTTTAAATTATATTAAAAAAGATTGAATTTAAAATATATTAAGCTTCCAATTTATCTATATATATTTGTAATCTTAAGACAACAATAAACCTCAAATCATTGAATATTTTAAACTTCATGTATTCGATTTTTAAATAAATTTAAAACATGTGTCATAATAAATTAATGTTACTTTTTTTGACGCCTCTAAAATATTATTGTGGAACAATTGATCAGAAGCAGGAAAAAATAATCTTTAATGTAAACTAAGAAATATTTATGATTAATGTTTTGTCATCATCTTTGTAAATATAAGTTGGCAATAATTCATCGAGGCCTTTCATTTAAGTACCCACATGGCATTTTTTATATATTTTATATATATGGTATTTGTGAAATATATAGAAATATATAAAATATATGAAAAATTGATGTGGGTACTCAAATGAAAGCTCTCGATGAGCGTAATGTCGGGGTGGGCTTATATCTTTGAAAATGTCAATAATTCACAAGATATTTGTTAAATTGCACTGTACTTGCTTAACTATTGATATTTTTAAAGATATAAGCTCATCCTGATGTTACACTCATCAAGAGCTTTCATTTAAGTACCCACATGCATTTTTGATATATTTTTCATATATACATATATATATAATATATATAAGTATATGAAAAATTGATGTGGGTACTCAAATGAAAGGTCTCGGTGAGTGCAATGTCGGGAAGAGCTTATATCTTTAAAAATATCAAATATCCTGGCTACAAAATTTCGCTTATTCTTTTAATAATATAAATTTTTATTTTTCTTCTATGCTGACTATTAATAGTGTTCAAACAGTTGTATAATTACAATAATATATTCCAGGCGGATTACCTTGATATTATTATTATATTTCTTCTTTTTCTATTTGTTTTTATCATGAGATAAATTGATTCATTATTATTGCCATTGTTGATTGTTGATAATTACTGACATATTTACTGTAAAATTTTTCTTTTATAAAAAAAAAAGGAAAAATAATGAAATAGATTATATTTTATTTTCTCAATGTTCATAAAGAAAAATTTCAAGAGTAGAGTTAAAAATAATTAGCCTTGACCAAAATTATTAACTTTTAAACTAGACAAGTAATATTTGAAATAAATTCTTCGCTAATAATAGTTCTGCCAAATAGAAAAAAAAAATATAATTAAATGTTCAAATGATTTATAAAATAATATGTATAAAAATAATGTTATCATCAATAGTTCAGTTAATAAAGAAGATAATATTAAACTTATTAAAATTTTCAAAGAATACTTTTGTGATAATTAAGTGATATCTAACTTTTTATGATATATAATTCATTGATGAATTAATATAAAGCTTTCAATTTATATAAGAGGGTTATCTGTTAATTTAAATTTATTATATGCATTCCAAACTCAATTACTTTGACAAAGATTTTATTCTCCCACGAAGTCTATCACAATTATTCTTTATTGTTGCGTGATTCATTCTCAAACATTATAAGCTAACTTTATTTTTTTATGGAAAAAATTAATAAAAAGTTATTTTAAACAATCAACTATTATAAATTATTATTGTTATCATTATTGTTATTGAAGTTTTAACTTGCCGAATAATAATTGAAAGTTTTAAATTAATAACTAGCAACCTTGCAGTCACTATGTGACTGCTGTGACTTGTGAACTATAAATAAATAAAATTTTGTTTTATTAAATAATAAATTTTGTTAAATTGCACTGTAATTTCTTAAATATTAACGTTTCTATAGATATAAGCTTATCCCGATGGTATACTCATGAAAAGCTTTCATTTGAGTACCCACATGCATTTTGATATATTTTTCATATATACATATATATATATA